CAAAATTTCATGCCGGATCGGCCGTGGCCCGGATTAACAACGACCGCGCTTCCTGCTGCCGTGTCACAGGGCGGGAGTGATAAATCTGCTACTGAGACACACCAAACAAAAAAGAACAAACAAAAACAGGCCGCGTGTGACCGGCCTCAAGCAGTTGTCCCCTGGGCTCTGCGGTCACGCAACCAACTTCCACGGTGTGGGCAGCCGGGAAGTAACAATCGCCCTCACAATCCGAAATGCACACGAAACCTCTCTATTACTCACTCATCTTTGTCTTCATCTTCATCTCTATCATCTTGCCTTCCTTCCACTGATGCAACTCCTCGACTTGATAGCTCTCCACTTCCTCTCCACTCTGCGTCCACTAAAAACGATGGAAGCCAAAAAACCACCACCGACAGCCTCTTAAAGCCGCGCCACCAATTTCATATAGGAGCTCTTAATGTTAGGACACTTTGCCAAATAGGACAACAAGCATCACTAGCCAAGACCCTGGCATCACGAGCCATTGATGTATGCTGTGTTTCAGAAACACGCATACAAGACCCAAGTGTGGTTATTCACCTAACCCCACCTGGCCAACAGGTTGAATCTGCAAAATTCACCTTGAGGGTGTCAGGAGATGCCACAGCTAGTTCACGAGGATTAGCTGGCGTAGGGATAGCTTTGAGTACTAGGGCAGAAAAGACATTGCTTGACTGGATCCCGGTAGATAGCCGAATGTGTGCTGTCCGCCTGAACGGATCAGTAAGAAGGAGGAAGGACTGCACTACTCGCCGATGCCTTTTCGTAATCTCCGCCTACGCCCCCACTGACTGCAGTTCAGATGAAACGAAGGATGAGTTCTACCAAAAGCTGTCTAGTTTGGTGGAAAGGCTAAACGCTCAGACATAGTCGTTCTAGCTGGTGACTTTAACGCTCAAGTAGGGAAATTGTGTCAATCTGAGAAGGATGTCGGTGGCACCTATGGAGTTCCGTGCCAGCGAACCGACAACGGTGACCGTCTCCTACAGTTCTGCTCTGATAATCATTTGTTTCTTGTAAGCACTAACTTCAAACACAAGGAGAGACACTGTTTGACTTGGAGACCCCCTTCATCAAACCAACGCTGGACACAAATAGACCACATAGCAATAAGCTATCGTTGGCGTGGGTCGGTAGGAGATTGTCGCTCCTTCTGGAACACGTGCGTAGATACCGACCATGCACTGGTCCGCGCTCGGGTGTGCTTACGACTGAACGGACGTAGGAAACAGCTGGCGGTAAAACCATCACGTCCCCAGCTCGATCAGGAAACTAAATCCGTATTTGAGGAAGAACTAGCTAAACACATATCTGTGTTCGACAGCTGTGCTCACCCTGAAGAAGCTTGGAAAAATATCCAGGCAGCCATAGATACAGCTGTAAAAGCTGTGAATAAGGTAAACCCAAAGGTGAGTAAAAACCACTGGATCTCCACCGCCTCATCCGAACTGATAGATGCTAGAAGACTTATTCCGGCGAGCTCCGAATTCAATGAGGAGCGAAAGCTGCACAAGAGGAAACTTACGAAAAGTCTCCGCAAGGACCGTGAACAGTGGTGGGCGACAAAAGCCAAAGAGATGGAGAAAGCTTTGAGGATAGGCAACACCAGGCAACTCTTTGGACTCATCAGGGAAACGGGTGGGAGAAGACAAATCATTAGTGAGACAATCTCGGAAAAAAATGGCACTATAATTAGCTCCAGGATAGACGACTGGATCGTTGGAAAGAGCATTATGAGGAGCAGTTTAATTTGCCCACAGCCACGCTCAACCTTCCGAGCATCCAACACCTCCCTGAATGGGATATAGACACAGGTCCTCCGTCACTAACTGAGGTTACTAAAGCTGTCACCAATCTGAAACTAGGCAAAGCAGCGGGACCTGATGGAATGACTCCAGAGGTATTTAAGTACGGTGGAGACAGCTTACTGTCCGGATTAACTGAGGTACTAGGCAGCGTCTGGGAATCAGAAGAAGTCCCATCGGGTTGGTGTAAGTCACTGATTATCCCCATATACAAGAAGGGAGACAAGTCTTCCTGTGATAATCACAGAGGGATTAGCTTGACTAATATAGTATCTAAAGTCTTAGGCTCAATAATCATGCGTAGACTGAGTGGTGCTCGGGAAGCACAAACACGAGAGAGCCAGGCAGGCTTTAGACCAGGAAGAGGGTGTATTGATCATATCTTCACCCTCCGACAGATTCTAGAACATAGGCATTCCTACCGGCGTCCAACAGTCATTATATTTCTTGACCTAAAGGCAGCATTCGACTCTGTCGATCGGGAAGTTCTCTGGAGATGCTTGGCTGTAAAGGGAATTCCAAGAAAATATATTGCACTGATTAAGGCACTCTATTCGTACTCATACAGCCAGGTGAGGGCTTACGGCGAGCTGTCATCTGAACTGATGACGACCAGTGGTGTCCGTCAAGGATGCCCATTATCTCCTTTTCTATTCAACTTCATCATAGATGTGTTAATGGACTTAACCCTAGGTGACTTCAGCGATTCAGGGATTGACTTGCTACCGGGAATAATCTCGTTGACTTGGAATATGCAGACGATATAGTCCTTCTAGGCGAAGACGCTGACGAAATGCAGAGTCTTCTAAACACCTTGAGCCGCAATCTACGAATGTTTGGCATGCGATTCGCTCCCGCCAAATGCAAGATGATGTTACAGGACTGGACTACATCGACGCCTAGTTTAAAAATAGGAAGTGAAGTGGTAGAGCACGTTGACCGCTTCACTTATTTGGGAAGTACCATCAGCCCCAACGGGCTGATCTCTGACGAAATCTCAGCACGAATACAAGGGGCTCGTTTCGCATTTGTTAGTTTACGCCGACTCTGGCGTAGACGAGATGTTCGACTATCGACCAAAGGGCGGGTGTACTGCTCATCAGTCCGCTCCGTCCTCCTTTATGGTTGTGAGACCTGGCCACTGAGAGTGGAAGACATGAAAAGACTAGCTGTCTTTGATCATAGGTGCCTGCGTTCTATTTCCCGTGTAAAGTGGCATAATAAGGTGAGCAACATGGAGGTTAGGCGTAGAGTTCTAGGTAAACAGGGGAAATCAATCGACGAAGTCGTGAAGCTACAAAGACTGAGATGGTTAGGACATGTGTTACGTATGCCAAGCCATCGCCTCCCTCGACGAGCTATGTTAGCGGATATAGGGTCAGGCTGGAAAAAAGCTAGCGGCGGTCAAACAAAAACTTGGCATCAGTCAATGAAATCCACAACAGTTGGTCTAAGCCACGTAGGAAGGTGTAGACTTCCAGGCTGGGGTCCTCGGGACGGTAAAAATCTATGGTTGGAAACAATTGGTGACATGGCTCAAAATCGTTCTCAGTGGCGCAGATGCATCCACTCCCTGTGACTTATGATCTTCAATGAAACTGTTTTGTATTTCTTTATTACTCCTTTGTCTCACACCTCTGCTCACTGTTTCTATTATGCTTTTCTTGTACTTTCTTCTCTTGCTTCGCGTGCTACACGGAATGTGGCGACTTGAACTTCCGCACATTTGTGCAAAGTTCTATGTCGAAAACAGACAGACAGACCTATCTAGGTAGAAATGTTTCAACTCCTGGCCAACGGCAATCACATATTGATTGTGTGTCTATGGTTCAAATTTCCGCAGATGTGTAAACGATAGATATACCATGTATTTCGAATAACAAACCTGTTGTCACATCTAAATCTATAAAACACAACATAATCGAGCAAAGAATATTCTTTTCGATAAATTCCTCTTCTGGCTCTACAATTATATACATGTTTATATACACAGAATGTTCAAGGTTGGTAGTTAATAACAATGTTGGTGTTTTTTAAATAATATCGATTTGTAAAGTATGATCAATGCAATTACAGTTCACTAAAAATACTTAATTTATAATAGTAATAAAGATATAATAGCGAATAGAATATCAACTAAAATTAGGAAATTTTCACGAAAATTGAGAATCATTCAAACCTAGATGGCCAAGGTAGGGACAGCGTCTGAACTAACTTCTTTTGGACGCACAAATTAGGCTTTTTAATGTGGATCCCAACAGCCTCAGCAATATTTAGTAATCGAACTCTTAAGGCGAAGTTGAGATTTGTGTTTAAGTCAGTGTTGGGAATATCTCCAAGTGAGCAGCAAGGTATAGTGTCCTTTCTGGAAGTACATTGTAGTCAACAACCAACAGATCACTAACACTCCGTGAAAGCATATTTGGCCACGGGATTATTCAGTTCAGTGCCATCATAACATCATCAAAAGCAATTCTAACAGGCTAGTGCATAACTCCATTATGGATAAGATTTTATTTTGATAAATCACACAGTGTTATACAGTTATATTAACTGATGACGTTTCGAGCACAAACTATTGTTCATAATCAACTTGAAAATTCCACACTTGTACCAAAAAATACGGTGTGGAATCAAGCTGTAACCATAAAATAAAATAAAAATATGATTATGAACAATAGTTTGTGCTCGAAACGTCATCAGTTAATATAACTGTATAACACTGTGTGATTTATCAAAATAAAATCTTATCCATAATGGAGTTATACTCTACCACAGTGCCCAAGTTTTATACTAATATCAATAAGGCTAGTGCATACTCGAGTCAACAGCGGCCTTTACTGCCTCCATACTGAAGATCGCGTGGCCAAAAAGGATTAGCGACGCAGAACTTTGGGAACGAACTAGCCAAGAACCTATTAAGCAACAAATGTTCCGAAAAGGATGGAGATGGGTCGGACACACACTGAGGAGACCGGTTGAGCGACATCTTGTGCCACGTCCTAGAGTGGATTATGAGTGGAAAATGTCTCAAAGTCAATACAAGAGTGTTTCATTATCAAAGTTACTACAGGATGAAGTCCTTAGGCACCCATTGCTCTTTAATACACCCCCAGGTAACCACAAGCGTACATCTTTGTACCGATATAATTAAAATAAAAACAAAAGTCAAAGATCGAATTACTTTTATCATATGCTTCATTGTTCATTGTAAATATCACATTGCAGTAATCTAAGATAAATTTGTTCTGAAATGTACAAATGATGAAATTCCTTTTTTTTTGTTAATGACAAGATTCTACGCAAAAAGTGGGTAGATGAAGCTTAGAATATGTGTACATTATTGATTATGCGAAATAAAAAGAAATACTGTCAACGAACAAGTATAGCGTCAACACCTTCAGTTGCTGTAGACGGTTCTATAGTTCCACTAAATGACTGATTCATATCCTTTAAAAGTAATTTGGGATTAGGATCTCTTCCACGGAAGCGCCGAAATAATTCAGCTGGTGGGATGGCACTTCCATAAGTCAAGTATGTTTCACGGAAGCGCTTGAATATTTCCGATGCCTAGGGGAATAGAAAAAGTGGGAGACTACTTTATGCATAGTTAGAAATACTTTTTCCATAAAAAATATCTTTAACGATAATCAGAATTCTTGTCATTATTTATAGCAAAAATAAGTTGGTGCAGATAACCAAACACAAGCTAGTGACAAAATTAACAGAAATGTTTTATATGAGCAAGGCAAAGTGTCACTTTGGTTGGACGCTAGTAAGTGGTGTGATGTGTCTAGTCCTTTGTTTGGTGCAGACTGAGATCTATCGGTCTAGTAAGAAACCTAGGTCCAAGGTTTTAGGCCGATTGCCTCCAATCACCTAACATCAACAATTTAAAGTGCACCGTAATGACCAGTCGCCTAGAATGGTGGCCACATTGCAAACTTGAATGACGACAGAATTCAGTCTGCACCAAACAAATGACTACACAGTTTACTGACTAGTGTCCAATCAAAAATATCCAATACAGTCCAACAGAAGGTCAATCGCCAGTCCCAAATAGCTCAGTAGTAACGTGTCTGACTGCAGAACAGGGTGACACGTGGACTTGAATCTCAGAAGAGGCATGAGTTCCTCCAAGGTTGAAAATACGCCTTCCTGACTGGTGATTGAGTCAACTAGCACGAAACCTAGTTGGAGTAAGGCTTCCTACCGATTGCCTCCAACCGTCTAACATAAACAAAATGTCAATTTCTGCAGGATCGATCGTGACTGAGGTATGGAAGTCAAGAAACAAAAAAAGGAACTTCACTTCCATCTAACAAAACTGTCTTTCAAGCGAAATATACGCTAATTTCCGTAACTCATGCCTTTCATAAATGATTTGTAGATATTTGAAAGGCAACCAGAGAGGAAACACTTAAGAAATAGGAAAATTTAGGGGGTTACAGCATCTCAATAGTCAGTAAATCCAGTGGAATAGCTTATTTTGCCTGTTCGATACATACAGAAATATAAGTAACACAGAGAATAAGATTTACTTCTAATATTACAACATCAGTTCAGATTATCATACAAAACTTTAGCAAATTAATTATAGTTTCCTACACACCACAAGCTTATCATCACTGCACATACTAATTCCTTATATAATATAGTACATGATAACTACTTTTTAAAAAATTATGATTTGAACGCATCCTCGGTGAGGATTAAGAAATCCCCATTCAGTCGTATAACAGAAAAGGTGCCCAGTAAAGAGTTACTCCACTGCTTCAGCGACATTATTTCCCAAGCTGTTCACAATAGCATATTTATAGTAAATTATCTAAGCAACAAAGAGGAGTATTTTTAAAGATTTGTCATTGAAATTGTAAATTTTTTCAGACAACAAATTACGTAACAGGAGAAGCATTAATCGGATTGAAACTAAAATGAAGTTAATTTCATTGTGGGTAAAATTTATTTTGATAAAGCCTCACAGTGTTATAAAGTAATATTTAGTGATGACGTTTCGAGCACAATTTATTGATTCTAATCAAATCAAGGTACTTACATAACTTTCTAACTGCGTTTATATAATTCCATTATTTTTCATCGCTTGACTTGATTGGTAGTAGTGCTTTCCATATATGAAAAATATGGAACTTTTACCCACAATAGAATTATACTCTACCACAGTGCACAAGTTCTATTCTTATGCAATGAAGTTAGATAAGTGAAATGAGTGACTTAGTATAATTGACGGGATTGAATAGAACTCAAATAAAATTGAACGACAGTCAAGTTAACAACAGTGGTAATAGAGGGGTAGAAATCTAATAGGGGGTGAGCGAGGAAAATAATGCAATTAAGAAACAAGAATTACGTATCCGGCGTTAAGACAGATTAGGTTCACTGAAGATTTAGTGACAGTCTAACAACAGAAGACAAGGGCCAGGGAACAGATCGTTTATTGAGGAAAATCAAGAGATATTTATAGATTTTTATGTACATTATTGTCAGTGGAGAAGCAGAGTTTTTTGATCGGTTGTTTTCTTGCTGAAGGTCATTCTCTACTGCCTATGACCGTTTCTCAGAAAGTTAAGCCATATATCTGCGAATCTTATTTGCACACGTTAAGTCTGATGTGATTTGTTGGTGAGTTACCTAAGGTTAAGCTTTATTATTGTTTTTCTCATGACTCCGATTCGGAACTTAACATTGACTTAAATTTCTGTCTCACTACGACTGAGCAAATTTCTTCTGAATGAAGAGTTCGAGATTTAACATGTGATTTGCTACTGCTTCTGCGGTTTGAAGAAGTTTGATCCCTACTCTTTTAGCAAGATTCCCGAGTAATATATAAATGATTTGCAAGTTGGGGGTTAGCTCGGTGTCCAGATTAGATAAGGTATTTCGGGATAGAGCTGCACGAGAATAATGCAAGAGTAAGCATTCAATGTTACGTTAGATAGCGAGCGTTGGGTACCACCAACAAGTCTACCTGCACACGAGCAGGTGAACTGACAGATACACACCGATGAGGCCAGCAGTGGTAGCTTATCTTTCACGTTCATGCAGACCGCCCCCCTCCCCGCTATTAAATTTCAACCTCCTTATTACCACTTTATTCTCATTCAATTTTAGTCGAATTCTACCCAATCTCGTCAACTATACTACGTCACTTAATTTACTTATTTAGTCTTGTTTTAGTTTCTCTCCGATTAACGCTTTCCACATTATGTAATTTATTATCTAAAACTTAAAATTCTAATGACAGATCTTGAAAAATATTTCTTTCGTTGTTCAGATAGTTAAATATATATGCATGAGATTGTACAGCTTGAGAATGATATCGCTGAAAAGGATAACTCTTCTCTGAATGTCTTTTCTCTCATACTGGTACGAATTGAACACCGAAAAATGTGACACATGAAAAAAGTAACAGTAAAAGCAGAGGATAAAAAGGATGGTTAAAAAATAATGAACAGGTGAGCATTTCTATAAAGTATCTCTTTTTTGAGAATACTCGTCACTTTATGTTACTTCTAACAGTTAGAAGAAAAAGAAGCAATGAAGTGTGCTTGGCAGTGACTGCGATCCCCGAGTAATATATATCTGAACTTGCAGACCTTAAGACGGACAATTATGATATGTTAGGAGACGGTAACAAGACAGAATTTCGCCCTGTGATACAACGACATATCCTGGTCTGATAATTTTGTCAGCATTATCCAACTATTTTTCAGGAGACCATTGAACGATGAAAAATATCAGTAATCAAATGAAAAGCAAAAACAGTAATGAATACAATTCTGCTTTGTTTTTATTCACAGTTGCAAACTCAAATTAGAACAAGACATTGAATGTCACTTACTACCAAGTGTGCCGAAAAACACAACATCTGAACTAAGTTTGGACATCACATAAAGAATAGAAAAATAAACCCACTAAACCTTTCATCAAAACACCTTACCTTATGCGATTCAGACAACCAATTAGCATCTTGTAGTGAACACAATACATCCTGTAAAAGAATTCTACGCCAAATTCGGTAATACAATAAACCCGCTTGTGAATTAGGCCCAAAAAGTTGAGTGCATGAGCACGGCCATTGATCATCTGGATGTAGGGGATATGGCATATGCATTTTCCAGAAATCTTTGTGTAATGTTGACCATTTTGTTTCTGATTCTTTATTCGACCAAAGAGCTAAATCAAATCTAGACTCGTATAGTTCTCGAAGAATATACAAAGACATAATACGTTTAGGTGGAGTTCTTAAACCAACAGCGGCTAAATAAAATAAATAAATACACAAGAAATAACTATTTTTATGTGTAAAAGTCATGCATACAGTTAGTTAGCTTGTTAAATAGAATAGGCATCATTGGTGCACTCACTGAAGTATGACTGTACTGCTCATTTCGGTAATGCTTGACTGCTAAACATTTGATTGACTAAAATTTATTCCTACTTTCCACCAGTGTAACTTTAACTAGTACTTCAGATTGAAGCATTCAGGAGTATAGTATGAAGAGATTTAGATAGCTGGTTTATATATAGTCTTAAGACATTCTTTTTCTCTTTGATTGATCACTTAACTTGGAATCTTTGTTGGCAAACATTTAGTTGATGAAGTAACGAATTCTAATCGACTGTGAATAGGAGAACAATGTTGACTAAATTAAGATTAAGTCGACGAACAGTCAACGATAAATTACAATAAAGTGTGGCACTGATTCATGAAGTCTCTAGCCATCGGAGAGTTATGTAGGGAAGTGACATAGGATTAAAAGACTGTAGAAGAGCTAATGATTATTAAACCAAAACTTTGAATCAGTTTACTAACTGATTGACTGATTTCAACATCGAAGTTTGCACACAATTTCAGCAGTTCAAGATGCCACACACTCCATGTATCACATAAAGGGAGACAAAAGAGAAAGATGAGGAAAAAAGAATAGTAATATGGAAGAACAAGGGAGTTTTATTGGATATGGCAAATCGCAAAGAGTGAATACATCTGCGCCAATATTGAGAACGATTTCAAGGCATAAGATCAATTGTTTCCAGCCATTGGTTTTTACCTTCTCGAGAACCCAAACCAGGAAGTCTACACCTTCCTACGTGGTTGGCTTAAACTAACCGTTGTAGGTGTCATTGACTGATGAAGTCATGTTTTTTGGTTTGACCACCACTGGCTCTTTTCCAACCTGATCCAACGTATGTCAGCTAAGAGTGCCCGTCGAGGGAGGAATCAATCTATAGAAAACTTGACAGTTAGTCTGAGCTACATATACAGCTCCTCCGGATTCTAAAAGCCAATGGCAGGAGACTATTGGTGATGTGGCTCGAAATCATTCTCAGCGGCAGAGATCTACTCAGTCTCTGTGATCTGCCGTATCCAATAGAACCCTATTGTTTTTCCATGTTACCATTCTTCCTGTCTGAAATTGCCGCTTATTATCGTTCTTTCGTATCTCTTCTTTTCTTCTATTTTGTCTTCCTTTGTGTGCCACATGGAATGTGGTAACTCGAACTGCTGTACTTTTGTGCAAACTGCTGTGTGAAAATCAGTCAGTTAGACGGTTTACGATACCAACTAGTCACCCGGAGAATGAAATAGTTTGGGCAGGGAGTTGAAATAATGACCCTCATCCGGTTAATGAGCCACATCACAAGATAATGGATGATTAACAACATTTGAAAAATGAACAATGATAATAATAATAATAAGCAATATGTGGTTAAAAGATGAAATTTTCTGGGTTTCTTTTAAGGTATGCAGAAATCAAGCGAACAAAACAAAAAGGCACAACAACTTACATGGTTGAAAATGAGCCTTTTGATTATCCGACCCACGGTGTTGTCGTATTGAAGGCAATGCATTACTAACGCCTATACTATAGCATAGATCAGACATTAGGAAACGACTATCCAATGCCATGAAATGAGGAAAACTATACAATTCATGGTGTGGTACACGGCATGCAACATATTGGAGACACGATCCAAAGGAGGACATAAATGAAAGTAAAGCCTAAAAATGTAAAATCTTAATTGAAGTATGAGTGAACATATAAAAAATGCAAAACATTAGAAACAAACAGAGAAACGCTTGAAGTGATTATGTGTAAATAGAGACCAGGTAAATAAAGCTGTTTGGTTAGTGTTTGCTGGCGGGTATTGAGAATCCAGTATGCGTATTTCGTCCTACTTAGGACTTAACATCTGGAGGTGAACGTATGCCCACTAGACAACTAGTCTCAAATAGAACAAAACGCGCGCCCTATCCTTAAGCCAATAGATACGCACTATAACCTTATTACATAGTGTTGCTAAGTGATGACAGCAGTTTATTTCCTGATTTCTGTAGATAGACAATAAAATGAGTTCATAACAAAGAATAACTTCAAATACCACTATGTTTAAAGTATACTGTTCACTGTCAACAGGATGCCTACAGTTACCTACAAAGCTCAGACTAAATAGCATTTAAATATGCCGTATTGGCATTAGATAGTTTGGAGGCAATCGGTAGGAAGCCTTACTCCAACTAGGTTTCGTGCTAGTTGACTCAATCACCAGTCAGGAAGGCGTATTTTCAACCTTGGAGGAACTCATGCCTCTTCTGAGATTCAAGTCCACGTGTCACCCTGTTCTGCAGTCAGACACGTTACTACTGAGCTATTTGGGACTGGCGATTGACCTTCTGTTGGACTGTATTGGATATTTTTGATTGGACACTAGTCAGTAAACTGTGTAGTCATTTGTTTGGTGCAGACTGAATTCTGTCGTCATTCAAGTTTGCAATGTGGCCACCATTCTAGGCGACTGGTCATTATGGTGCACTTTAAATTGTTGATGTTAGGTGATTGGAGGCAATCTGCAACACTGGGTGATGCGGGTTCCAATCTGAGGAGGGATATGCGTTCCGTCAAGGTTGTAGATACCCCTTGCTGATGAGTAGCAGCTAGCACAAAATTTAGGTCTAAGTTTTCCTGACGATAGCCTTCAACCATCTAATATCAACAATTCAAAGTGCACCGTGATGGCGAGTCATACAGAATGGTGGCCACACTGCAAACGTGACCGACGACAGAATTCAGTCTACACCAAATAAAGGACTAGACACAATACATTAATTTACTAACTAGTGTTCAATTACATATGCCTTAATAAGAAATATTTTTTTCAAGATCGAGGTAATCTGCTTTAATTTAAGTCAATAAATAAAAAGTTATAGTTACATCTATCACTCTTCGTCATCTTCCAGGTATTGAAACTTTTGGCCAGTATTCATCTAACTATTGTCTTTACATGTACATCTGCGCTCATTGCAGTTTCGCAACGTAGTATGGTTTCAGCAAACAATACTCGATATTAGCAGTCGGTCACCACCCACGCTGGGTACTAAATGAGAGCAACGGTTATGAGATAAGAACAGGTGTTTCCACTATGGAATACTGCAATCATCTGCTCTGTTTTTATGGGCGTTTTTATAAAGTCCGACAAACTGAATTAAGTGCCAACACTGATCACCTAATCTTTCATTGTTCAATGATATTAGTAGAACAGATAAACGAAGATTTGAAACCAGTAAGCATAATTGTTTTTACAGAACTTATTGTGTCTATGACTAGAACAACAACAACAACAGTACTAGCTATTACACACAGATTGTATAAGCGAGTCCACAATACTGAACAACCCTCAATGTTCATAAAGAAAAGATTGAATAAGGCAAAAACAATTGCCTGGGGGAAACTTACACCGAAAGAAATACCAAATGTTTCACTTGATGGATTCAAGCTGCCTAAAAGATAAACAATTGGATATTGAGAGGATCCAGAAAGTATACGAATATCACTTGCAAATAAATTATTTCTTGCTGCCACTGGAGCAAATATATTACCGCCGACAGGAACTGAACGACCGTTTCTACAAATTGAGAAGAAAAAATAGAACTAAAAGGAGAAGAATCATACAGGCAATTTAAATATAGTTGACCTCAACGACTATACTAAGAAACACAAGTGAACCATCTCCTAGCATAATTCACCCACCAAAAACAATCCAGTAAAACTTAATTTTCCACTTTCTTCAAAGTTCAACTTTAAAGACGAAAATCACGATGCGTCATTTGTACACTGAAGAGTTCGGGATGAAAATTCAAGATAGTTTACCGTAGGAAAACCAAAAGAATCAGAACATAGAATATGTGACTTACTTGTAATGTGTACCAGATATGGTATCAAGTTAGATACACATTATGATCTGAAAGCTTTCAATTTCCATTCGAAACTTTGTAGCTTACAAATAACGCTATTAATTCTTATGCATTAACAATTTCCTCACCTAACTAGGCAGTATTCAAGGCGTTTGAAGTGATTTGACATTCTAAAGTGTATCCTTCCGCAAATAATGCTGGTAAGAGTGACTCCAAATGGACGAAAGAATCATCTGGCTCTAAATCAATTCTACATAGCTAGAAAACACTACTCACATCTATCAGCAATTCGTTTTTTATTCATTCTCTGAGTTTCGAGTGGAACATAGGGCTTCAAACTTTGAAGTTTAACTGGCACTGTTCTTCTTCTTAGAGCACGGAGTAGCTCCAGTGGCACTAACATTCCTTCTTTCTTGGGCTTACAATGATCTAGTAAAATAGGCAAGATTTTGAAGTCGGCCTCCAGTTGGGCCTGTACCGGCTGCGCGGTTGCCAGATCCCTACGACTGAACCGTCGACGCATTTGTGGTATGGGTCCCAAAGGCACAAAACTGTTGTTCAGTATTGGGGTTACTTATATCTGGTTAAAAAGTACTATTGGTTGACGTGAGTGGTTTCCTATCAATCATGTCAGTTAGTTATGCACTATGTAAAACTTTCAGTCATAACAGCATTGCAAACCTTTGATGACCTTCACGTGAAGTGATACGAACTATCTATACCGCCAATAAAGGCATGTAACTTATACACTATAACTCTGTACAGGAATCTATACACTAACTTGTCTTATTTTACCAGTAGACTGTAACAGGATAAACAAGACGTGACGTACTCACCTGGAAAACGGATCAATAATTATTTCACCAAGCAGTGTACCATCTGACATGTCTTCGACATGATATACCAATTTTTCAACAATATATGACATATTTTCTGAAGATCTTGGTATTTCAGTAGTCAACTTCAAATGGAACATATTTGCTAGCTCAGAGAAGACAGTATGAAGGTAATTCACTAAAGAGCCATTTGGTGGACTGATCAATGTTTCAAAGCGTGTATAATCAGCAGCATAATTATATTGTTCCAATGCATAATCCACATCCCAAGCTTCTAAAGTTTTGCCTTTATAAAAATAAACGAACAGATTAATAATCAGTAATTGCAGAAAGTTAGTGCTATAATCACGAAATAGAATCTACTCAAATCTCTTATTTTCGTGATGGTGCTTATTATGTAACTTAGTTATCATGTGCAATTTTTTCTTGACTTATTATTCTATGCCGCATACCTGATAGATACGCAAGGGCTTACGACAAATTTAACTAATTGAGCCAAAGTAAGTAGGTAGATGGGATTGGATACACGTTGAGAAGACCGTTGAGTAACACAATACGACGGACCCTTCTTGAGTGGAACCCGAATGGGGAAAGAAAAGTTGGACGTCTGAGGGTGACATGTAGGAGATTGTATGAAGAGGAGCCAGCCAAAGAGGACTGTAAAGAAGAGGATGGAATGAAGATGTGCTGTCGAAGCACTATGTTCCACTCGGAACCCAGGGGAATAATAATAAGTAATATTACATAATCCGAAAACCTGAGCCTGGTCTGAGAATCCCATATTAATTTGTTTATTAGATATATCATTGTGTTCGAAACGTCATCCAGTAAATAATACTGTTTCACTGTGTGATAGATCTAATAAACAAATTAATATGGAATTACATACTACCACAGTGCCCAAGTTTAACTGATCTGAGAATAATTGAGTTTTCAATGTAAAACTTGCACAGAAGTGCAAGTTTCGAGTTACCGCAACATAGACCACATAGCACATACAAAACTTTAATGAACGGAAATGTACAGGAGAAAGAATAACCACAAGAGGATAACATGATTTGATAGATCTCGGAGAATACAAAAAATTACCGCGTCTGTACATCTGAGAACAATTTCGAGCCATATCAACAGTATTTCCAAGTCAATGGTTCTTAGAGTCTCGAGGACATCAGCCAGTTAGGTAGTCTACACCTCCCTACATGGCTGACTCAAACCCATAGTCAAAAACTTGATGGACGCATATTATTTTTTGGTTTGACCACCACTAACTCTCTTTCAACCCAATCCCGTATCGACTAACATAGCTTGACGACGTAGGCGGTGGCTCAGTAAGCGTAACACATATCTTTACCATCTCAATAGACGCAGCTTCCCAACTCCATAGATCCACTTTTCCAATTCACTTAACACTGTACACCTGACGTTCATGTTACTCACCGCTTATTATACTAATTAACACGGGAGATAGGACGCAAACATCTGTGGCCAAAGACAACCAGCCTCTTTACGTATTCCACTTTCCATGTCACAATCTTACAGCCATAAAGGAAGACGAAGCGAACTGCTGAGCATCACATACGTCATATGGTCTTAAGTCGAATATCACGTCTACACAGGAGATAACCTAAGTTGGCAAATACCAATAGCTTGGCTTTGCGACTTACAATTATGAAATGCTAATGGGAATGATATTATAACTCAGTACAATGACCTCTTATTTCCAATGACTGCATTAGCATAGTCGAATACAACAAGCTACATGTAGATAGGAAATTATACTTCTCGATGACTGACTGAGTGACTTATCTTGATGGGTAACAACAGATCACGGCTATCGGACATTTTTCACACATAGCAACCAAACACTTGAAACCTGTTGCACTTCTTTAAATAAAAAAACATATAACTGACAATATGGACTTGACTAACTTTAACTTCAACATTTTAAACAATTCAATCTTGACATGAATGGTTGGGGGATTAAATACCAACAAGGTCGAAAGGAAGTTAAATAGTGAATACGAAATATCCAAGCATGAAATGGTTGGAATTTAATCTTCAGAACAAAAACATAGGGAAGGTCTAATCTAAACAGTGCCGGATACAGTGTCTTTAAATAAAGGTTCAAACAATTTCGAAACATCATAGCAATCAGTGAATTGCTTATATGGCCCAGATTTACAGTAGCACACACTTGATTATACAATAACTAACTACTGGTTTTCCCGACCCAATCCACACATTTTATCTCTACAAAAATATTAAAATTCAGTCTGAATGAAAAGTAAACGTGCAAAGAATTCTCTTTAGGTCCCTACAGCTTTCACTTATCATTATAATAGCATACAAGTATACGACACACACCTTTTCTTTACTTAAAATGAGTGCGAATTGAAAATCAGTTCAGCTGAAGATTGTAAACTAATGAGCTTATTAATACAGATAGCTGCTATTAGGCAAACACACAATGTGACTTGAAAATCTAGCAACTGATGAACAGACACCACAAAACGAAAGTTTGAACAATAATGCATTAGTTTAGTTACAATCTACGCTAAGGGATCTTCGTGCTAGGGTCCTACGCCTATACATCTGTCTGTCATTAGGCGACAGTAAACTGTTTAGATTAATCAATCCAACTGGGAATTGATTAGAATATAGTCGCAAAGGAGATTCATAGAGCATACATTTTGAGATCTAGAAGTTTGGTGATTATATAGTATTCTTTTTTTCTCTCCTACAAGCATAAAACAATCGATTTTAAGAATTTTATACTCCCTAATACCAACAGAAGTGTACCATTTGTAGTATTGCTATTATTCATTCTTTGAGTTCCGAGTGGGACTTAGGGCTTCAGCGGCGTCTTGTCATTCCACTAGTCTCTCAGTCATCTCTTTCAAATGGATTCACATCTGCCCACAAGTACTCAAGGTCAACGAATCATAATTTAATACACTACACTGCTATTTTCATAACAGCATCCAATTAATTTGTTCCATCACAACATACACAAGACATTATTAGACTGTGAGTGTGGTTTTTTTGCAGTCGGAAAATACACATGTTAAATCAGAGAGTACAGTAGTATCTTTCCAACTGAAGTGCAATGACTACAACTAAGGTAAATTATCCTAAATGCCACACACTCAACTGACTGACAGTAATCGCTTAAGTAACTCCTATAGCATGCACTTCATCATGACAAGCACGCTTGTATACCATTCCGATAAAGTTACCAAATATTTCTATAGCGAAAATCAATCAGAGACCTAAAGATTTACTCACAGTTAAGGAAGATGACGGAAAATTCTTACATAACGAATTAAAAAGCAAGTACGATCAAAATACAATTAAAACCAATTTTAAAATGCGCAACGCTTTACCAGGTAGATCTAGATTTGCATTTGCCCATTCTCTCAATAATTTGAAGTCGCGTTCACCACTTTGTTTCAAAATGGTTCTGAAAGGCTCAAGAATATCATTAGTCAAACTGTCAGGAGATGATGGTGAACATGCATATGGTGAGCTCCAAACTACAGATAACCAATCTTTACAACCAAGATGCTTCGCTAAAGATGCTCGTAAACGACGAAGGTGTTGTATGCGGCCATCATTAGATGCATGTAAACCAGTTGATGGACCAAAATACCGATCACTTGCACGCCGAACCCAATATTCCCATACCAACCGACGTAACTGTGAGAAACAAATTTCGAGTAAGGCGATACAGATTAGGCAAGTATATACAATTAATATTAACTGCGTGTGGTTAAATAACGAAAAAAGACACCTGAGCACAGAATTATGTAAACGAAAGTTATCGAACTATGAACTCACCTCACTATTGCTGCAATGTTTCAAGAATATACTGACTATTTCGTTCGAAGATAAATTGATATGCATACCAGCTATATGTCCACCGTCTTCTTTACCACCCAGAACTGCAGGCAGCCAATAGGGTGCTGATGGGGCTAAATCTGACTCAGCAACTCTTATATCTGTAGCACCTGTAAGAACATCTAAATATGACGGTGTTGATATACGACCAGAAAACCTTGAAATTGAATTTTGAGGTGTTGATACTGAAGCTGAGGATGCAACCATTGCTTGAAACTGGACCTCTTCTTTATCTATATTTGTATGTACATCGTGTATAGCTTCCAAAGACTTCGGAGAGTGTTGTGAAATAGTGTTTGAGGATGATCTACAGTTTCCTATCTCAGAAGCATCTCCTTTGAATTCAGAGAATGAGGGTTTATTAGGAGAAAGTAATAATCCAGTACCCATTAACCAACATTCATAGATCCATGCATCCAACAAGCCTGAAATGAAATAATTCGCCTTTGAAATAAAGAGATATCTTCCAAACTAAAAGGATATTGCGGCATTTCACAATTCTTAATCTTTACTACGAATCAAAATGCATGACATATAAACCCCATGATTTCATTTCTTAAATGAGTGTCACTGTATGATGAACTTACCTTTAGTTACAACCATTCACCAAAAATATCCGACAGTTACACAGTTCATAACTAAAACTAAGCCAAAAGGACCAAGTTCATCTAGTATTAATTCAATTGGAAAATAAGCACAAATTCTATCAAATGTACTGCCGAAATAATCGATTTTCTTGAAAAGAACAATAAATTGTTGCATAGGATGAAACCTGAAACAAATTGTTCGACATAACAACACCGTAGAACTGTGAATTATTAGTTTAGGCAGTAGATTGACTGGTTTCAAAATAGAACTTTGCACTGATGTGCAGCAGTTCGAGTCGCCACACTTCACTTAGCAAACAAAGAAAGAGAAGATAGTAAGAAGAGTTTTTTTTTAATATCTTGTATTCATTAGTATGTATGTTAAACTTTGTACAAATTTGTAAAAGACAGTTTATTTCACGTACAGCTGGATTGATTAAAGTTCCTAGGCCGACCGAAAGCTGCTACCTTGACGTGGTGGTCGGGCTTGAACACCGCAATGACCTAATCAAGCTATACTGGCTGAGTCTTATGTCTCTTGAGGTTCTAACATGCCAGGCAGGTTGTTTGGATAGCGGTTAAACAAAAAGCAGCTACCCCATCCAATACCATGATTCAAACAAATTCACAAAATTTCATGCCGGATCGGCCGTGGCCCGGATTAACAACGACCGCGCTTCCTGCTGCCGTGTCACAGAGCAGGAGTGATTGTAACAACAGAAGACGAGGACCAGGCAACAGATCGTTTTATTATGAAAATCAACACGTATTTATACATATTTCACATACATTATTAAAGCTTATGCAAGTAGATAAGCGCAGTTATCTGATTGGTTGTTTATCAGAAGTTAGGCAGTCAAACGCAGGCTTCTGATTGGTTGTTTCGGGATTCCTCGACAAATACAGTTCTCTATCTGCGAATCATATTTTGCCACGTTAACTTTGCTGTGATTGGTTGTTGAATCAGCCTTGCTCATATTTTCTCACGGCCTGCTCTCACCACACTCGTCCCCCCATCAAATACGTGCGACTGAAGTCGGCTTGATCTACTTGGTGCAGGCGTCATCGTTGGCTTGTCTCGCCGTATCCATTTCTGGAGCTCGCTGACGTTCACGCGCCTCTCATTGTTCGTCATTGCGATTGTGTCCGCGTAATCCCATCTCTAAGTGACCATATGTGGTCCTTCCCACTTTGGAAACTGTTTGCCTGACCCTGTCGAACATTCGTCAGTATTTCGTCTCACACTTTCATATGCTGCTTTCACCCGATCTCCCAGCAGCGTCCCAAGTAGCAGCTCCATCGCTGACAGATCTTGAACGCCACTCAACTGCGCAGAAGCCTTGAAGTCCTGCCCGAAGATCCATATGTCTCCATCAAAAACAGCAGGGCATAGGCTTTCCATTTGTCGGTAGGCAGCGACACCAAATGTAACAACAGAAGACGAGGACCAGGCAACAGATCGTTTTATTATGAAAATCAACACGTATTTATACATATTTCACATACATTATTAAAGCTTATGCAAGTAGATAAGCGCAGTTATCTGATTGGTTGTTTATCAGAAGTTAGGCAGTCAAACGCAGGCTTCTGATTGGTTGTTTCGGGATTCCTCGACAAATACAGTTCTCTATCTGCGAATCATATTTTGCCACGTTAACTTTGCTGTGATTGGTTGTTGAATCAGCCTTGCTCATATTTTCTCACGGCCTGCTCTCACCACATGATAAGTATGCTACTGAGGCACACCAAACAAAAGAGAACAAACAAAAACAGGCCGCGTGTGACCGGCCTCAAGCAGTTGTCCCCTGGGCTCTGCGGTCACGCAACCAACTTCCACGGTGTGGGCAGCCGGGAAGTAACAAACGCCCTCACAATCCGAAACGCACACAAAACCTCTCTAATCCTCACTTATCTTTGTCTTCATCTTCATCTCTATTACCTTGCCTTCCTCCCACTGATGCAACTCCTCTACTTGATGGCTCCTCACTCCCTCTTCACTCTGTGTCCACTAAAAACGACGGAAGCCAAAAAACCACCACCGATAGTCTCCTAAAGCCACGCCACCAATTTCATATAGGAGCATTTAATGTTAGGACACTTTGCCAAATAGGACAACAAGCATCACTAGCTAAGACCCTGGCATCTCGAGCCATTGATGTATGTTGTGTTTCAGAAACACGCATACAAGACCCAAGTGTGGTTATTCACCTAACCCCACCTGGCCAACAGGATGAATCTTCAAAATTCACCTTGAGGGTGTCAGGAGATGCCACAGCTAGTTCACGAGGATTAGCTGGCGTAGGGATAGCTTTGAGTACTAGGGCAGAAAAGACATTGCTTGACTGGATCCCAGTAGATAGCCGAATGTGTGCTGTCCGTCTGAACGGATCAGTAAGAAGGAGAAAGGACTGCACTACTCGCCGATGCCTTTTCGTAATCTCCGCCTACGCCCCCACTGACTGCAGTTCGGATGAAACGAAGGATGAGTTCTACCAAAAGCTGTCTAGTTTGGTGAGAAAGGCTAAACGCTCAGATATAGTCGTTCTAGCTGGTGACTTTAACGCTCAAGTAGGGAAATTGTGTCAATCTGAGAAGGATGTCGGTGGCACCTATGGAGTTCCGTGCCAGCGAACCGACAACGGTGACCGTCTCCTACAGTTCTGTTCAGATAATCATTTGTTTCTTGTAAGCACTAACTTTAAACACAAGGAGAGACACTGTTTAACCTGGCGACCCCCATCATCAAACCAACGCTGGACACAAATAGACCACATAGCAATAAGCTATCGTTGGCGTGGGTCGGTAGGAGATTGTCGCTCCTTCTGGAACACGTGTGTAGATACCGATCACGCACTGGTCCGGGCTCGTGTGTGCTTACGACTGAACGGACGTAGGAAACAGCTGGCGGTAAAACCATCACGTCCCCAGCTCGATCAGGAAACTAAATCCCTATTTGAGGAAGAACTAGCTAAACGCATATCTGAATTCGACAGCTGTGCTCACCCTGGAGAAGCCTGGAAGAATATTCAGTCAGCTATAGATACAGCTGTAAAAGCTGTGAATAAGGCAAATCCAAAGGTGAGTAAAAACCACTGGATTTCGACTGCCTCATCCGAACTGATAGATGCTAGAAGACTTATTCCGGCGAGCTCCGAATTCAATGAGGAGCGAAAGCTGCACAAAAGGAAACTTACTAAAAGTCTCCGCAAGGACCGTGAACAGTGGTGGGTGACAAAGGCGAAAGAGATGGAAAAAGCATCGGCGATAGGCAACACTAGGCAACTCTTTAGACTCATCACAGAATCGGGTGGGAGAAGGCAATTCATAAGTGAGACTATTTCTGAGAAAAATGGCTCCTTAATTAGCTCTCAGGATAGACGCCTTGAACGCTGGAAAGAACACTTTGAGGAACAATTTAACTTGCCTACAGCCACACTGAACCTCCCCGCCATCCACCCACACCCGAATGGGATATAGACACTGGTCCGCCGTCTGTAAGTGAGGTTACAAAAGCTATCAGTAATTTGAAACGAGGCAAAGCGGCAGGACCCGACGGAATTATTCCGGAGGTGTTTAAATATGGGGGTGACATACTAGTTTGTAGATTAACTGAGGTACTAGGCAAAGTCTGGGAATCAGAGACAGTACCATCAGACTGGGGTAAGTCACTTATTATACCGATATTCAAGAAGGGAAACAAGTCCTCGTGTGATAATCATAGGGGGATCAGCCTAACGAACATAGTCTCTAAAATCCTAGGCTCAGTAATCATGCATAGACTAAGCAGAACTCGGGAGGAACAGACAAGGGAAAATCAAGCAGGCTTTAGACCAGGTAGAGGGTGCATAGATCATATCTTCACTCTTCGACAGATTCTAGAACATAGACACACTTTTCGGCGTCCAACAATTGTCATATTTCTTGACTTGAAGGCGGCCTTCGACTCCGTGGATCGAAAGGTACTATGGCAATGTCTGACTGTGAAGGGAGTGCCAAGAAAGTACATTGCACTAATCAAGGCACTCTATTCAAACTCACGTAGTCGTGTAAGGGCTTATGGGGAATTGTCATCTGAATTGGTAACAACCAGTGGTGTCCGACAGGGATGTCCACTTTCCCCATTTCTGTTTAACTTCATCATAGATATGCTAATGGAAGTATCCTTAACTGAACGTAATGACTTAGGAATCGACTTGTTACCAGGGAATAATCTTATGGACTTAGAATATGCAGATGACATAGTCCTGTTAGGGGAGGATGCTGACAAAATGCAGAGTCTTCTGAACACCTTGAGCAGCAATCTTCGTATGTTTGGCATGCGATTCGCCCCTACAAAATGTAAGATGCTGCTACAGGACTGGACCACGTCAACTCCTAACTTAGTGATAGGGAGTGAAGTGATAGAACATGTTGACCACTTCACCTACTTGGGAAGTTGTATTAGCACCAACGGACTGATTGGCGATGAAATCTCAGCACGGATCCGAAAAGCTCGAGCTGCTTTCGCTGACTTACACCATCTCTGGCGTAGGCGTGACATCCGGTTATCAACCAAGGGACGTGTGTACTGCTCATCAGTTCGCTCCGTCCTTCTCTATGGCTCTGAAACATGGCCAATACGCGTTGAAGACATGAAAAGGTTGACTGCTTTCGATCATAGATGTCTGCGATCTCTGTCTCACGTTAGGTGGTTTCACAAGGTAAGTAATGTTGACGTTAGGCGTAGAGTGTTGGGCAAAGAGGGAAAATCAATCGACGAGGCTATAAAGTTACATAGACTGAGATGGCTAGGTCACGTGGTGCGCATGCCTAACCACCGCCTCCCCCGACGGGCATTACTAGCTGAGATAGGTGCAGGTTGGAAAAGAGCCAGTGGTGGCCAAACAAAAACATGGCATCAATCCATGAAATCCTTGACAGTTAAACTGAGTCAGGTAGGGAGATGCAGACTTCCGGGTTGGGGCCCTCGGGACTCTAGGAATCAATGGCTGGAGACTATAGGTGACATGGCTCAAATCGTTCTCAGTGGCGCAGATGCATCCACTCCTTGTGACTTATGATCTCCACCAATGAAACTGTTTTGTTCTTCGTTATTACTCCTCCTTTGTCTCACACCTCTGCTCACTGTCTCTATTATGCTTTTCTTGTACTTTCTTCTCTTGCTTCGCGTGCTACACGGAGTGTGGCGACTTGAACTTCCGCACATTTGTGCAAAGTTCTATGTCGAAAACAGACAGACAAGAAGAGATTCAAAACAGATGTAATAAACGGTAATATGAGGCAAAAAATAGTAATATCAAAGAACAACATAGTTTTATTGGATATTATAAGTCACAAGCAGTGGATGCATCTGCGTCATTCCGAACGAGGATTTTGAGCCATTGGTTTTTACCATCCCGAGGGCCCAAACCAGGAAGTTTACACCTTCCTACGTGGCTGGCTTAAACTAACCGTCATTGACTGATGAAGCCATGTTTTTTGGTTTGACCACCACTGGCTCTTTTCCAACCTGACCCATCGTATGTCAGCTAACATTGACCGTCGAGGAGGGCGACGGCTAGGCATAAGTAACGCATGTCCTAACCATTCCAATCGATGTAACTTCACAGCCTTGTCGATTGATTTTCCCTCCTTACCTAGCACTCGACCGATGCCTAACCTCAATATTGCTCACCGTTATACCACTTCACACGGGAGATAGAACGCAGGCACCTATGATCAAAGACAGCTAGCCGTTCATGTCTTTCAATCTCAGTAGCCAAGTCTCACACCCACAAAAGAGGACGGAGCGGAATGCTGAGCAGTACCCCGCACTTTGGTCGACAGCTAGCAAGATATAACGTCTACGCCAGAGACGGCGTAAACTGGCATATGGGAAACGAGCTTTCTGTATCCGTGCACAGACTTCGTCAGTGATCACCCCATTAGGACTGATTCTATTAAATGACTACCACAACATAGGTCCAAACCCTGCGATGTCTGGAATTAAGAGTAGCCAGTCAGGCAGTAGCACTACTCTTTACACATGAAGCTCACTGAAAAGTGCACAAAAATGCATGTGGTTTCTGAGCAATGTTTCATTTTATTCTACATCTTTACGAAGATAAGTGAAACAGAAGTCACAAAATATTAAAAATGAACAGACAGTAGGTGACTGAATGAGTGATAAATCGAAGTAAAACTTTTCGTGTACATTCCATCAATTCAAGTCGGCCTATTTACAAAATATGAGAAACAGAAGACTAGAATTGTTATAATACTAAAACGCATAAAAATGTGAACAAGAGAGGTGATGGTTTGATGAACAGTGACAAAGATGATAAATGCAAAACACTTCAGTCACTTCATTAAGTTTTAAATAACTCACTCCTGGTATCCCAAAACATCCAGTCAGCCAAACTACAGATACATAGCTGGATCAAAACAACAGTTAAGGATTTGTGCCACAAAACATCCTCCAACTAAACTTTGATTCATCTTAGACGACGTCTTGACCATCTCAGTAGTCAAGCCTAGCTATGTGGAGGACTAACTTATCTTACTCAGATTTCTAGCCTCAATATTACTTATCATGCAATTTTTATATCATATTGACAATAGAAAGAAGACACCTGTGGTCACAAACCTGTTATCCTTCGGCGTTTTCCAATTTCATCTATCTTGTTGTAAAATCTCAAGTTAAGACAAAGCAAACTACTGTGTAGCCGAATATTACACCTATAACAAATACTGTAGTGGGTTCTATAGCCTACCAGTTTATTTAGTTGAATGTCAAAAGTTAGTAGACCTCGCTCATTGTAGTGTAACAGCAGAAGGCAAGACACAGAAGCCAAGGTATATTCACCAATCAAACCGCTACTTATGTACATACAGTCATATATTCTCTAACCAATCATTGAGCGTGTGATTTTGTTTAACATCAAACGACAAGAAACAGAATGTTCAAACATACACAGCATTCTGTCGCCAATGCAGTACTGAACTGTGGCAATAACATTCTGACTCCAGCAATAAACAGAATGTTCAAATAGATGTATTGTATTCTGTTGCTAACGCCGAATTGAACTGCGGGAATATGTGAGAATAATATTCCATTGACACAGATTGTCCGTATCACACCACTACGCCATGACATACAACAATAGGAAACCGAAATCTTAGTCTAAAATAAACAATATGGAGTAAACTTCTTAGAAAGGATTTTTACATACTGGGTTACAGCCCAGACTAAATGTGTGAATGTTTACTAGACTATTTGGTTGTTAAGGTTAAAGTGAAGCGCGATTCAATAATCCATACTTCAATTTTTAGTATAAAAAACCCCACATAACTGAACGATTAATAAATCTCAAAATGCGTTTCGTCGTAAAAAAAATAATAATACTACACTTTGAGTGTTATCTAAACGTGAACTCGTTGTAAGTTCTATTAATGAACAAAACGTTTTTGAGCAAATATATATATATATAATGCACAAACTGCAAACAAGAAACAGATGGAACCTTTCCTTTAAGTTATTTATTTGCAAGTCTATAATGCTTGGAGAAATTTATGCCCACTGTCTATACACCCCAAAATACCATCTGACTGTCCGATAGGAGTACTTTCTTCATGTTTATTTACTGAAAACAAACTGCATACATTATGAGAGCTACGCGGAAGTAACATACCAGAAATGTAAGCAAACTTATCAAAAGCATTCAAAGGATAGTTCATTACTTCACATTTCTTCTTTAAAGAAATGAAGGAAGCAAAACACCATTATCACCACTGATTTCGAATCTCAACCTTATCTAATACTGTCTTGAGCCACCTGATTCCATTGATTACCGGACCACATATAGGGAGTCAAATTCATTAACAGATGCCAACCCGACACAACTATCCTTTATCCCAAAACGATTGGTTAACCATCATTTCACCTAGTCCCAGTTAGCAAACGCTAAACGGTATAGAAGCGAAAGAGATGAAATTCGCAGCACATGCACAATTCGCAAGAGTCGATTTCCTATGATGACGTCACTTACTGAAAGATGTTTTCTTCATACACACACAAAAGTTCTGTGACTGGGTGCACTTTAGTGTACTAGAGAATTATCTAAAATCTGTCATTTTTGCATGCGAAGAATGCATCGTCTATACAACTATGGTGAAATACCAGCTTTGTGATAAGCTTAATCACATAATACCGTCTTATCAGAACGAAGCTCAAATATTCTCCTCATACATTTATCTCTACCAATATGGGTGTATACACACAAGACGTAAAAATAGCCGTATTGTATTGGGGATTTATGAATTACAAGTTTTAAAATCGTGTTAACGTTTCAAGTGAGACATTGCTTTTATTTCAGATGCAAACAACACCCGTAAAACTGATAGGAAATCACCATCTAGTAGGCTAGCTAGCTAAATAAGCTTTACAATAAATAATTAGGTATTATTGTAAGCCATGACTTAAAAACAGCGGGAAACTACTGGAGCCGCAGCTAAAGCTTTTCGAATGCTTCCATGCTTCAAAAAGGAGGCATATATCCTGGAAAGAGCAGAGGGTAGGAACCAAATTAGTTAGTAGTATCTCCCACCTTCCTTGTGATACGAGGATGGAGCATTTAAATCTCTTCCCACTATCATACTGAAGGAGGAGAGACGATCTAATTTTAGCATACCGTATGGTAAAGTGTGATTTGGGGATTGACTTTTCAAACCTTTCCTCTCCCTCTAAGATACATTTACGAGGTCACCACAAGTAGGTGCTCAAACCAAGGTCGAACAAAATACGTGCAGATTTTAGATTCTCACAGAATGGTCAACGACTGAAACTCCCTACCTGATTCAGTAGTAACAGTTCCATCGGTGAGCGCCTTTAAAGAGAAACTATATCTCTCAAGAGAGATATATCGCAAGGATTAACATAGGCAACAAGAGCCTTTTATCCTTATAATCTGAATCTGAGAATGAGTGGAGATGAGAGGTTTGAAAACTATTCAAGTCATAGTTGAAAAGTGAAAAATACATCCATAACATACACAAGTAATCTTGACTACTAATATTGGTATATACAATCTCATTATAATACACCGTGATATGTAGTTTGTATATTATCAAGACATTCTGCAATGAGTTCAGTCCAGAGGCTTTAGCAGAGACAAGTTACGGAGATGTACTGAGGAACTCTAATTCCAAGTATTGATAGCTTGTAATTGCAAACTCTAATTCAAAAGAAACCACAATTTATACTTAACTAATCACCTTTTTCATATTCATCCATATTGGAGTTCGTACGTCTAAGTGTGAGAAGTGCCTCATAGATAGAAGAATCACGACAGAGATATTCACGTCTGGCAGCTTTCAATTTCTGGTACAGGCGTGACACTACCAGGGTCCAAATTGGGTCTTCTTTCACACTGGTGAGACAGTTTAGATTGCAGAAGGCTTGCTCGACAGGAAAAGATGCTTGTTCAAGAGCAGATATGATAGTGACATCATTTTTCAAAAGCTTGCCACTTTGGATACAGTCTGATAACTTTGATAGGCAAACTTGATAATTCATAATCAGTTTGGAAATTCCTCCGAACACTCTGTCAGGCTTCAGGTCCTCTAAACTACTCGTGTTAAGGAAAAAATGCAAAGAAATTTTACTTTGAAATGCTGAGTGGCTTCAAGATATTTTGCGATACATACGATTCGCAAGGAATCTCCGGTATAAGATAGTATGATGGTCCATGTTCATTTTTGTAGCTTCCATAAGGACTGTAATTCCTGAGATGTAGAAGGCTCCTCCGGAAAGAGTGTCGCAAGGTCAGCAGACGGGCCACCATACTTGGCGCTTTCAGACAATAACCTAGACTTGACCTACAGAAATATCAACTTCGACCGATGCAATAATATGACAAAAGTTTCCTTATTTGGAAAGTCCATATGACGGAAAGGGGAGCCGGATTTCCAAGATTATGTTTCAACGAGAAAAGTTCTCTCAGTTAGTGATTAATTTCCTTTCCACATCTGGCATGTCAACGAAAGTCCTCAAATGTATGCAGTGTTTAGGTTACTTTCTCTTGTGTAACCTACAGCTTTAATGTGCAGATGCTCTAAGCTGCCCATCGAAGCACCTTCAGACTCCTTCTGGACATCCATAAAAAAATTATCTGCATGCAAATGACGGAAAAATTAAAAGATCTACATTCACCAACATGAAAGGTAGCTTCTGGATTACTCAACCAAGGTTCACCTATACCAAAAATTAGTATCTGACCCTTTTTTGTATAATTCTGGCTAACTGACTGACAAAACTTCACTCATAGGGGAACTACATGTCGTTGTTGTAGTACACCTCCCACGACACCAAAACAGACGGAGGGCAAAAACTAATGGACGAAATCAACTTAATATTAGCTCAATAAACATCTGGCTATCTTGAGGGTGCTCTAGGAGTTTTAAGTTTCGTTTCGGGTAGGCTTGGATGTCACTTTGTCTTTCTCACGTGCGCAGTTACACACAGAGTCTTAGCCCGTAGTTTAGTCATACTCGCGAGATAATTTCTAAAATGTTTCCCAAATACCCTTGACTTTCATTCTATTCAATAATGCTTTTCAACAAAACACACTGATAAATATCTGAGTTATTTTGATTTACGTTTCAATACCAGTATTCATGAGTCAGGTGGTGTACTGACTCACTGGATGATTACGCTTATTGCGTTGAATAAGGTTTATTAGTTGTACCATGTCTTTAGGTTAATTTATTCATATGAAAAAGAGAAGACGTTCAGCGAAGAGACTCTTTTCGGCGAATTCATCTTTTAAATCTTACTGGTTGTACTGCTTTTAATTTTTGAACAACACGATTTTACTACTTATGTATGTCTCATTTTATAGTCGTAATCGCTGTATCTTAATTAACTTTTCATACGGTGTCTGATATCTTTTGCAACTTCCCACCTTCTAAGCACAATACCCATCTCCATGGCCCCCGCATGTGGAATCTTAGTTCGCTCTGAGAGGTATTCACTCGAAACAAACTAAAGCTTACCAGGTGTGAGTCCCTAGATATTCTTGACAATCCTTCCTCAGACCAATACGATAATCTAGAAGCGGCCTTAATCACTAGATTCGCCCTCATAGAACAACAAAATGAGCAGTATGCTTCGTCAGATGAAGTGCCTGCTTCTGATTTCAAAATTGTTAATACTTTCCGCAAACATCTGTGTCTGCAACAATTACCTCAGATGGCACAAGGGATTCCTGCACGAAATACAAAGTATGGGCACAATAAACACTAACAAAAACTAGGAAAACCCAGTCCAACAAAAGTTTCCGGCGCCTTTCCACAGATCGCCCGTGACGGAGTTAGCAGATGTATCTATCTACATCAGCGTCCACTAGCTCCCATAGAGAACTTTCCCATACCAGTAATTCGTCGGGCTTCGAAGCGTGACTTGCACGACAAAATGTATTGGAATCTGCGCAGTATCAAGGAGACTAGAGTACTTCCGACAACCGTGCGTCTTTCGGCTGCATTAAACAATACTAAAGTTTCTGGAGAAGGCTATCGAGGTTATATCGTAGATATTGTGGTGCCCAAAGATGTAATCGTTCCTGCAACCTCAAACCCAGTCAGTTGAGAGCCATGTAAACTACGTGTAATGGCAACTAGCATCACTGGAGGACCTTTGCCTTATTTTTCTTCTATGTTATCAATAGGAACTTTGGGGTAAGCTTTTTAGATGATACTAGAGTCATAGCTAGAGAGGTTCCCCCTAGAGCGGAGGGGGTTAGCGACCTACATCTCGAAAATCACGTGCCGCCTCGTTTCGCTCATTGCAATATATGGCAGATGACACTACCTGAAGATCACATTTCGATGTTCCTTCCTCTGGGTTCGCATCGTTCCCATTGGCACTATAGTTATGCATCTCTTGCAACATGAGTCTTTGCTGGTAGAGGCTGGCAGGAGTAAGATGATAGATTCTACCCCATGACTATCCACCATCGAGGTTATCGCTCATAGCCTCTCAGCCCGGCGTATTGAAACCCCTGCCACTTCAACTCCTAACCCTGCCCCAAACACAGTACTTGACTAAACCCTTAGAAAGGCACATCCATATTTAGCAGGCGTGATCTGATACGTGCATATAATCAGATCTCAGTACACTCCGAATATTGTCCGATGTCACAAGCCATTTCATCTGTTTTAACTTCTTCTCATGTCCCTCGGTCAACACCGCAGAGGCGTTTCAATGTTTCGCCTACAAAATCTTCCGTAGACTAGACCTATCTTTCTCATATCTGAATGACCACCTGATGGCTAGTCCGAATGGGAAAACTCATGGTGATTGTCGACAACAATTTTTCCATCATATCTTCATGCACTGAATAGCAGTCAGAGTAACCATTTGCCATTTTGGCATCAAATCCTTGACTTTCCATGGGCAGGTGATCAGTTAACAGGGGATTCGGACTTTGGCTAAAAAGGCGCAGGCGGCTCGAACATTTCCAGTGCTAGCGTTCCCGTGCACGTTTCTCAGAATCACAAGTCACTGCCACTGGTTTATTCTTCAATTCGCGCATATTTCAACATTACTGACCAATCATTTAAAAGGTATGTGTAAAACACCAGCATTTACCCCCGAAATATCAACTCGTACTTCATATAAACGGGTAAGTCCATATGAAATGCTCACCATTTTACAGGTATGATCATTTAAGTTATAGATTGCGATCGTGTGATATCACAAATGAGCACTTTCTGAAAAAATGATTATTAGCACAGTGGAATGATTCCAAGTTCTAAGACTTTGCAAATAGTGCTTTGTTTGTATCTTTGAATGACTTCTTGGTAACATTGTTTCCTTAACCAACCCTCAATTTACTCTCTCTACCTATTACATAATTTATTTTAGACACGTGTCTGCATGCTCTTTCATTAACATTCATATTATGCGAACCTTTTCATTACTTACCAATCTTCGGACCCTTAGTAATAAGTTCATTGTTCTTCACATTTTTGAAACATTTTGATGGCTTAAACACCAATTTTAACCAATTCATATTTTTGTATGACAGTCCTAATGCAGACGCATAAAATAATCACACGTAAATGTGCTTCTACAGCTAAGTAAGTGAATTCGCTGAAAATACACTCTTCGCTGAACTTTCTCTTACTCCTCTTTAGCTATTAAAAGTTCGGCCTCCCACACGAAGACATTTTGGTATCTGACAGGTTATCAGTCTAATAATTAAGTGATCTGTATGACATACCACTTTAAAAAATCAGGGAGCTAGGGATCACTCGGTAGTTTCGTTTTGCGAGGCAAGACATGCACACCCAGGATGTGAGTTTCGTGGTGCAGTGTCCTTAGTAACGTAATACTGTCTCAGGTAGATGAAATATAAGCCACTAGATGCGAAAAAGGTTGATGCATTAGATTTGACACCTGCAAGTCTTAATGTGGAGAGTTTAATTTACAATGCTTTGAAACATTGTGTCAGTCACGTTTCAAAAACCGTTAATGCCCAGCTCTTGCTACGCCGGGCCTCTCGCGGTCCGTCGAAGCCTTTCACAAACGCTTAGCACTAACGGACGCGAAAACCAGAACACCGATTGGCGACTCGAGAATTCTTTATTCTAACACCAACATATAAGCAGCTTAAAAAACTTAGGTCTAAGAACAAATATTACAATAATAAATCGCGATATTACATCTGACAGTTTTTAGGTTCTTCCTGAACAGCGGTCGATGACATGACAACTGGCAGATGGATCACGCGCGAAAATATGGGGCAGTTGGGTTCGAGCAAACAACCATGAATTAATCATTAAATCTTCAACTACGTTGACACCGCTCGGCAAAAACGGGATCCATCCCTTTTTACAATCACGACAAATACACGTTGACTTGGAGGCCATTGTGAGAAACTGGGTCATAAGGATAAAGCTGAAATGGAAAAAAACAGAAAAGCAAACACAACACGGCCATGCCCACAGCAAAATCTCACTTGTCGATGACGACCTACGCCTTCCAGTTAAAGGCATCCTCTTGACATCTTGTAACATAATCATCACCTGCTAGGATGAATCTCGCAGAACGCAACGTGACCATAGAACCACCTCATGATACTCTTCGCAGAGGGTTCTCCCTCTCTTCACTACATAAGGTCCAAGGAAATCCACTCCAACATACTCGAATGGATAATTCCCTACAGAAACTTGCCAAGCTAAGAGTGGCGCCATCATCTGCTGTGCTGAGCGAGCATTCTGTAGTTTACATTCCGTACACTTATCATTTGTTTTACGGACAGCAGTACTTCTCTTCATTATCCATAAATTTCATCGAATACTTGATAGTACTTGTGAAGAACCCAAATGACCCTCAAGAACATGGTTGTGTCTTATAATGAGATCAGTGACTAAACAGTAGCAAGGTAATTAGGCCGGATGACGGGTCTCATGTGACGATTCTAACATTTGTAGATGTCCACCAAGTCTAGCGATCCCTTCGGAAACTATCAGAGATAATCTATTTGACCGCCCCTTGAAATCTGCGAAATCGGGACTATCCTCCTTGGCTATCTCACCCCACGCTTCCCACTGAGCAGCCCACAAGATCGCTAACTCTGCATTTCTAATATCTTCGGCTCTCAAAGGTCCAACATTCATATTATCGTATCCTCAAAGGTGCATGACCTTTGAGTACGTAACATATCGTGTCAACCACGCAACAGCCTTCAGTAGTTTGTACCAAGAAGAATAGCATTTAAAAAGTGGACGTAAACCCTAATGTCTCTCTTGAGTGAGTGATAAACTGACACTTGTCTTAAACTCCAAGACACATTCACTTATCGGTGGTTCAT